CAGACGACTTGGAGACGGTATCCGTTCGACTACTTGCTCCTAGAGGTGAAAAGGACGTGGGCGATCATCTTCAAGGGACGGCCACACCTTTAATCGAACATTCCTTTCCACTTCTGCTTGACCAACCAGCAAATACCGAACAGAACAACGCCAGCTGTACTGACAACCAAGGTGTAACAACACGTGATAATGGCCATAATGAAGACGACGCCCATAAGCGTAACTTTGAGACGTTGATAAAACAACAACAACGCATTCATCCATACTGCCTTCGCAACCGAGGCGCTTAGAATTCGTTCCGTGCAAAACCTCGGCTAGATTTGCGAACACTATGCCCCTTTTTTGACCGGGAGAATGCCGTGCTAATACTACTTTGACCCTCGCTCACCCCTACCTACTCACCCTCGTCGATTAACGTTCATTCATGCCCCTTAACGATCGTTCACTAATTGCCTATACTACTCTAACCACTATCTTTTTTCAGTTGCTGTACGCCAACTATGAAATGAATAAAGCCCAACTTTAGGGTACTCGCTAATTCTCCTCGAATGTTTGACTCGTACGTACTGACTCTTTCGACTCTATCTATTTCGATCACAACAAGGACTATCACCTATAACCACAGGATCGACGTTTCCCAGTGCTTTCAGTCAATGGTGGTAAGGAAGATAACCTAATCCATCAGTTTATTTTTTAAAGCTATTGTGGTTTAGGAAATAGCGGTTCTTATCTTGGTGCTAGAAAGGCAAAGCAACTAGATGGAAAAAAACGTGACACTTTAGGTCATCCAGGCGGAGGAATGAAATCAGATTAGTTAGGGGCGATCGGAACCAAGATATTAGCATAATGAACGGCCTAGGAGCATGATCTGTAATTGGTCAGGAATAAAAATACTTTACGGTCAGCTACATATTCGAAAATCTGTCCTTCTCACTTAAGCCGTTACTTGACTAAATAGCTTATCTGGTGCGAGGTTTTCGAGGCGATCCCACAGACTATGTACCTCATCAACTAGCCAGTTGCTGAGACATCCGAAAACTAAACGGCTGGCTTACGAGCAACATACATGGTCGCTTATGAAAAGTATGGCATCCGACACCGTTTTGGCCGTAACAGCTTCAGTTGCGTTACGTTACTTAATAAAAAGTTAAAGGCAAACACGAAAGTCGTTCGCATACGTCAGACTACCTATGCAAACTGTAAGCCTCAAAGGACTTCGGGTTAAGTGGGCGACTGAGCTGGGGAATGGCGACAAAACTATGGGCATTTTTGAGCTGAGATCACTGAATGTGCCCAATGTTTCAGAATTGCCCGGTAACAAGGTTTTATATAAATAATTGG